ATTTACAAATTCTTTTACAGTCAGCCTCAGCTCTTGCTAATATCTCTAAATTCTGTAATAGCATACAAATATAATCTCCATGTTAAAACTAAAATATTATTTAAGAGAGATATTAAATAATTACAATGCCAAGTGAGCAGCACTTAAGACTGGATTAAAGTATAATACAGTAATTACAACCATGAAATCAGATAAAAAATAGCTACTGGTGAGCTAAGTAAGATCGCTTTGTTAAAAAGAAGAGCAGCACAAATTAATTAAAACAATTACAAAAATACGTACAAGACTTTTAATCAATTCAGCACCAAGCTGACATATAAATATAGACTAAGAGCGAAGGTCCTTATTAATCACTAATTTTCAATAGCAACAGTAAGGTCTAAATAAATTCTATTTCCATTCTCAATTAAAAATTATTCCACATGGCTAAAGAATACCAGACTTTTTTTCTAACTATTACAATTAAAGCTCTTTTTTCCAGATACTTCAACACAATCCTATTTCAAAATTATAGGTGTCAGTAAAATGCTTTACAATATAATTATAAATGAACACAAGTTTGCACATACAATTAAGTATTCTTTAACCATAGTTTTAAGTAACCATCAGCATGACTGCATACGTAACAAAGATTGATCGAATGTCACCTACTACCACAGTTCCATCATCAGCTCGTTGTATGAACACCCAAGATTCAAATTAAAACCCAAATTAGATAATCTATATCTATCACGGTATATTGAACAGATCACTTGTTCTGCAAGTTCTTAGTAAACAGTAGGACTTTAGTAAGAAAATAAATTAGTAACTGCTGATTTTTTGTCTTTTTGAGATTCAGGTTTTCCTAATCAAAAAAGTTAAACAATTTTCACTTGCAGTTTAAAAAGTTCAATCAGCACATAAATGTCTTTTAGAAACTACAGAAGTATCAAAACTACTCAAAAAATATCTCTAAGTACTTTTTGGGATTAACTAATCATATGAAATTAAGGTCTGAACAGAATGGTGAAACATTTGTGTTTGAAGCATTGGACAGTACTATGGGAATAGGAATCTCCTGAGACAAGAACCTGCTGAACGCCAAGACACCAACACAAGGTTCTGAGGAGCAACTACAGGAATCCCAAGTAAAGTCTGGACGTTTGAAACTTTAGCAGCTTAGAAAGAACACGCAGCTCTTAAATCATCTCCAACATTAGAAAGGACAATTCTACCATCACTAATCCTGTTCTAAAGAAGGATGTTTTATAAGCATCTCCAATCAAATAAAAAAAACATTAAAAATACATTAAGAATTATATCAACCAGACTTTCAGACACATCTACATCAAATATTTCAAAGCATGAGAAGTACACAGAATGATACAATTAAATAAGCTCTATCACTGTGGATAAACAAAAATACCTATGAAAAGAAAACATTTTCAATTACTATGTTTAATGAAGAACTTTACCTGCTAATATACACGTAACACAAATATATACAAGAGATTTAAACTGTAAAATTTTTTGTGCATAAATTTCAAAAATACATGCAAACTATAAATTTAAGGCCATGATGTGAAAAAACTTTATTACAAGTGTATGTCCTTAGATATTTTGCCATGACATCTATTTTCAAAAGGGGAGGGGGGAGGGGGCAACAGTAAGAGCTTTTTCCTTCTTTTCTTTTTTTAATAGTTTTCTGCATTTTTATTTTTCCATTTCTTGTTAATAAGATCTAAGGCCCAATTCTACAATACAAGTGGTGATTACCAGTGCAAGATTCCTGAACACTAATAAACACAAAATGTATTTAATTTTAAGAAAAGATAAGCACAGATCAGGGTGTGCAGAATACGGATGCAAACCCCAGGACTTTTTCTACACAAGTTGTTAAAAAAAAACAAACAAAAAACCCCCAACCTTCCCAAATTTACCCTCACAGAAGATGTAGAATATTTATACCAAGTTCAGTTGTCAATATTGCTTTTTATAGTTTATTGTAATGCTAATTAAAAATCTGACATAAACAAAAGTTAATATATAATAGGCTATTTTTTCCTGGAACTGCTTTCTTGCTAATTTAGAGAGAATGTCACACAACTTCAACACATTTTATCAATGTCTGTAGAGACCTAATACTACTTATATTTTAAAATGCTCAGCTTTCTCCAGCTTCCTCATACTCTAATGTAATTAGCAGATGTATTACAGTAAACTGAGGAAGCTGAGACTCTCCCAAGCATGAAACTAGCCAAATGCTAAACATCTATAAAATCTGGAAACACAAATCCTGAATTAATTTTGACAATCCTACACCACATTTCTTTGCATTCAAGCCTAAATGAAGTAAAAGTGAAAGAAAGAATGCCACATGAATGTGACCTTTAACAAACCATGAGAGATGGTTCTTGATTTAGAGAAGAAAAGGTCTACTGACATTACAGGAAACAAAGAAAGATAATTAGTCACAACTAACCCTAACAGATTCTTGTATTATTGAGCTATTTCTTGATCTTCACTCTCAGTATTTTTACAATAAATCTTAGAACAATCTGATGATGACAAAGAGCTAAATGAAATTCAATAATGTTTCATATTCAGATTCCGTCTGGTTTATAACAATATTCAAAGTCAAACTCAAAAATTCCATTAAATACACGATTTATCAAAATTATTTTATGGAGTTTAAGCAGACTGTGATTATGATGAAATAAATATAAAAGTTCAGCTGCTTGAAGCCTACTGCAATGTTCTGCAGTATATGCACAAGGACAAGTTACTTTGAGAGGAGTTGTGATCCATAAGGCTGGGCTAATGAAGGTTGCTTGAATCACTAACATAACACATTAACACTTTCCAAAGGGCAAGCATCACTTTTCATATACCGGTAATCCATTTCCATTAGCAAACAAACTGTACAAGCTTCATCCACTCACGCAGCTACTTACTATGTTAAGATTCTGTTCACCATGCAGTCACCCAGCATCACGAAAATAATGTGATATAGCAGGAATAGGAATATTATTTTTTTTTCTACAATAACCTTAAGTAGCACATAGGATATTTACAGTAAATACAAATAATGAGATTTATTTTTTAAAAACAAAGTTACTGAACTCATATCAACCATAAATTTCCCTTTAGCTACAGACTCAGCATAAAGTTAAAAAGACAAAAGCAAGAAGAAATGGAGAGGACTATGCCATGATTCCACCGAAAAGTCAACAAGGTCAGGATCCCTTACCTGAGGCACCCAAAAATTTAAGAAATTACAGTAGTACACATCCACACTTAGCTACCCAACAACTAAAACTTTATTTCAATCTTACATGTACTTTGGTGCATTTTTCTGGCAAAAGACAGTAATTGAGTGGACAGTACTCTTAATTATTCGTATTTTAAAAAAACATAATAGTATCACACAACAGTTACTGAAGGAGGCTGCAGAAGTCTCCATTCCTGGAGTTCCTACAGCCTGATCCCAGTTGCCTCTCTCCCCTTAGATAGAAAGGCAATTTGCTATAATTGTATTTTTTTTAAGTGTAAAGTCTTTAAAAAATGCTTCCTAAACCTAATCACTGAGAATAGATATTTAACTATATCCCTAAAGCACTGAAGGTACAAACAAGCCTCCAGCATTTCTTTCCTCCTTAGAAACTAAACAATATAATGTGTTTAATATTTTTATTAAACAAAACCCTACGGTTTATTATCAGAATGTTATTTCTCATTTTAAAACCTTGATTAAACAATTTGTGATTTTTTTTAATTTATTAAGTTCAGGAAGCACTTTATTTATTATGTAATCAATTGCTAAAAAAGTCACACTGCAAGTGTGTTAGACTGCTTCTGAAGTAACAAAACACATTGCTTTAAAAATAATTTAATATAAACATTTTGCTACCTTATCTATAAAATCATCCACTTATACTTTCCATATTCATTTAAATTTTCAACAAGGAATACATCTACAACAAAAAATTTTACACAAATTTACAATGACAATGTAACATTACATAATCATTGTTCTCCTGCTGTTAGTTTCGATAATTAAAAATCATGTCATGCCACAAAAGGGAACAAAGAACATTATCAAATATTCAGGATGCAAGTATGTGCAGGTCAAACCAAAATCTGCTAAGGTAAGCACTGGCACAAGAAAAACTCACAGTATGTGAAAAGATGGAATTAATCTTTCCAAGAAGTTTATCAAATACTAAGCTAAGCAAGAAATATTTTTTCTATCTCATCGCTGACAGGCTAGTGTTGCAAATATATGCCTGGTTCTGCTTGGCAACATTTTGTTAATACCCTATTCATTAATTTAACAAACTATCAAGAGAGTATGTTTAGAATGGGCAAGCATTATCTCTTGCATTTCATTTAATTAAACTCTGTTCGAGCAATATGACAGTCAGCATTTCATGAAGGGAATTATTTTAAGGATGAAGGTAGAAAATATTTCAAAGTGCCCTGCTAAAACATGAAAGCATAATCTAAAATTACCCCTGCATACACTGTAATTTATCTATAATATTAAAGATGTTATTTCCAGAGTTCATAATTAATTGGATTCCACAGAGAAATTATTCAGGCATTCCAGATAGCACCAAGGCACAAAACATAGTGCCGAAGGACAACCATAAACAACCACTGTGACTCGCCGAATTACAACAATCATTGAGCTTAATGTAAAGTGAATACTGGCTGCCTTTTGTATGTGACCATTACTCTGCTGCAAAGAAATTGCAATTGAATTTTGATTATATTGCCTTAATAAAAAGTAATGAAAGTGGCTCATGCTCCAGTGGCTTTCTTTTAAATGATACATGACAGTGATCCTGCAAAGGCCAGCATGCCAAACTGACTGAGTATGACACCTCATCTGAGGAAGGCGATTGTTACCCCACCATTGCAGGCAACTGCAGGGATGTTGGCTTGACTTATTGCAAACATTGTAACTGAACACTTCAACAAAACACCAGTTAGAAATTAGGTAAGCTTTTGAGACTTACCATCAATCCGACTAACAAGTTCTTCCAACATTTTCACTTTCTTCTGAATTCCTGGCTGTGCAAACGTGTAGTTATCCTGAAGAAGAGACCATATGTAAGTTTAAGTTTGGGGGGGTAGGGGGGGAAGAAGTTTCTTTTCTTTCAATTACTTACTCAAATCCATGTATTTCTCTACGCTTTAAGGTGTTCATGTTTTGTGTTTACATTTCCTAGGTCTGTTTCTAGAGATAATTAGTAAGTCATCTGTATAGTCCTGCTTCAAGTCTCTGTCTCTAACAGCATGTCCTATAGCTATTACTGCACCAATTACTCTCCACTTGCTAATCCAGTGGCCCTGAAGTTACAGCGTTATTGCAGAAGTCCAAGTAGCTCTAAAAGGCTATCATCTTAAATGCCAACATGTGCCATGTTACAGATTTTTATAAAGGTTTGGGGTTTTTTCCTCATAAATTTACAGTTTTTTCACAAATAATGTAGGAAATATGAAAGTTTAAACCCTAATCAGTGACGGTGTAAGAATTTGATCTTCAGAAGCTCAGAACAATACCTTCCAGCAGCATAAGAAATCAAGTCTATTTCAATAGAGTCATAACTGTTCTGAACCCAAGGTTACAGTTAGTATCACAAATCAAAATCTAACACAAGCTACACAGAAAAAATGGCAGGGTATTTATTTGCATGTATTTCTTTGAATTTGTTAACTCTTGGGTTATTTTAATTTATTCTTGGATTGCAGGTCTATAATATAGACTACAGTTTGAGATACAGAGAAATATATCTCCACTTTAACCCTAAAGTGATCTATCTTTTTAAATAAAGACATTATGTAAACACACAGCAATGTTTCTAAATATTTGCTTGACAATCCCTCCACTTGACTCAGTTTGTTATGGTTTTCCATATAGAGAGATTCAAGAAAAGAAAATTACCAATCCATATTTTAAAAGAAAGTTGCTATGTAAAGCTGGTTTGATGTAACAACTACATATACAGAAAAAATGGAGTAATTTTTTTTTCAATTGCTACTGTGTGAATAATCCCTTCATGAACACCAAATGGAAAGCTGAGCAACTCTCCCCAAAATAATCCTAAAAAAAAATAATTCAGTAATGCTCGAATATTAACTTTTCCTGACTTCATTTCAGATTTTAACTTGGCCTTAAAGGGATGAATATCAGTTTGTCTTTATGTATCTTAAGACATTTTTATTCTTATTAAAAAAAAAAAAAGTTATAGACTTCCTTGACTATATTTACATGGGTGTTTTGATTTGTTTTATGAAATTAAATTGCAGTTCAATCTTCAAGTTCGATTAAACTGCCATTAAATATGAAACCTAACATTTCACAAAGGAAAATGTTATAGTACATCAGCAAACTACAGTGATTTACACTATCAAGAAAACTATTATGTGCTCTTATCACCTGTAACTGAACACAATATTAGTAATTTTTAAAAATCTAGCAGAGCTCTCTGCTGACCTAGCAGTAGTGTTTTCACAGTGGCTGATATATTGATGTATAAATCAAAACAGTGTTGATGAGGGAGCAAGGATCATTCTCTGAATTTTGGAATTTTCCACAGGAATCACCAACTAAAAGAGGCAACCGTTTCATCTTGTTGACATTGTCTTTCAAATAGAACATGAGCATCCTCAGCAGTGCAACATAACATCAAAATTTAAAGAATGCAAAGTTTTACACAGAATTCAAGTTTACTATTGTCCTATTTTGGGGACAGATAAACTATCCCATGCACTGGGACAATACCTTGTATATACATCTGACACACTCCTGTGTTACTTATGTATCATATGCAGGATACAGCATCTTTAGGAAATAGTGTATTAATTTTTCTTTATATAACTTAACTCTAGTGATGAAACCTCTATTAAATTTTTTTAAAAAATGTTTGGAAACTGGCATTTCTAGAAGTAGTACTGTGCTCAAAGTATAGCAATATGGTACTCAATTATTTAATCTATAACAGATCCTCTGGAAAAGTATCTTCATGTATTTAACACTGAAAGTCAGAACACAGAGACAAAACACTACTACTTCGATCATCAGTCTCTCCCCAGATTGTGCATCTGCCAACTGTGACCTATGAATCCAAAACTGTTTTCTTTCACAAAGCATCACTTACTCAATGTACACCTGGAAATGCAATCCAAAACTGTCATCTTGGATTTGAAAACAGAAAACTTCGCTCTTCATTATATTTGATATTTTGCTTATTCATTTATTTCTCTTTTAATTATTTCAGCTGGAAATTAACACAGCTGGGAGTCACTCTTCTACTTGGGCTGACTCATCTAACTGCAAAGATCTTTGCTGGCTCCCCCAGTCATCTCTTCTAATTAAACTACACTATACATATTCCCTCCTATGACACTTGTAATTGACTTTCTGGAGTTTATGAAACTGTGAGAAAGACTTGGCAAACATAAAAAGTGTTCTGTTATCTATTGTTCTTGTTCTTTTTGTGCTTATAGGTGAAGGAAAAAGCTAGTAACACACTTAAAGACAAAAATACATCAAACTCTTGAAATGTATTAATTATTTATAAGGGCAACACAGAAGTATAGCTGTTAAGATTTTAATTCCTCTATCATACAATTTAATTGGTGATACTTGCTGCAAAATCTGACTGAACTTTATCCCAACTCTTCTACCTTCTCTCCAGCAAGTGGTGCAGGAGAATGGGTCAGCTCCAAGCACTTCACCTCTGCCACTCCCTACGTGCCATATGTCCTGACAGAAAGCCTGCTCCTGCACAGGCTCCTCTCTCCATGGGGCCACAGGTCTTGCCAGGAGCCTGCTCCAGCATGGGCTCTCCACTGGCTGTAGTTTCCACCAACGCATCTCAACCTGCTCTCATGTGGGGTCCTCCGTGTGCTGTGGGTGGATACCTGCTCCACCACAGACCTCCATGGACGGTAGGAGTACAACTTACTTCACCATGGTCTTCGTTACAGGCTGCTTGGGAAGCTCTGCTACAGCACCTGGAGCACCTCCTCCCCCTCCTTCTTCACAGACCTTGGTGTCTGGCAGGGTTGTTTCTCTCACTTTTTCTCACACATCTTACAGCTGCTGCACAGTATCTTTCCTCCTTTCTTAACTATATTATCACAGAGGCACTTCAAGCATTACAGATAGCGTAAACTTTGGCTAGTGACAGGTCCATGTTGGAGCTGGCTTGAACTGGCTCTGTTCAACAAGGAGCTTCTTCTCATAGAATTCAGCCCCGCAGCTCCCACATTACCAAATCTTTGCCTCATAAACCCAATACAAGTTGTCTACTAACTTTCTGGGGGAAAGTGTTCAAGTATTCAACTCTCCTACTTATTCCCCCTCACAGATGTAGGTCCCCACAGGGATGTTTCATTACTCATCCTGCAAATTCTTGTGATATTTCCTCATTCATCCCTTCTGTAACTTTGACCATTGATATTAAACAAAACACAAACTCTGAAAATTTTGTAAGAAACTGAGAATAGGATTGTCCTGCCTCAACAGAGATTCAGCCAACAGTTAACATAAAAAGCCTTCTACTTCTAACCACTGTTCTCGACACTTCCTAATAAGAATTTACATATGACAAAGTATGCATGAATACAACAGAATTTATGATATATAAATTCATGCATTGGTGTGCAGTATCTAAATTCCTTGACATTCTGCTCAGATAGTTTTCAACACACTTCCAATGAACTATGCTAACCTGCTTCATAGCTGGATGGCCACAGTATCTAGTTCACACTTAACACATAGTTAGTTCCATCTTACAAAAGAGGTTAAGAGCTCATGTCACAAGGGCTCAAAACTTGCTTCAGTCTCAAATCTTTGTGTTAATAGTCTGTACTTACTCTGTAGAGGTTAGTATAACCACCTCACTGACCTGTAACTACAACTGGGTCTGGCAGGACTTCTCAAAAATAATTATAATTTAAAATAAATTATTTCAATTATTGACTGGACTAAACATGAGGATACATATTAGGTAATTCCTTATTTTTTTAAGTTACAGAACTTTTAAATGGAATAAGCTTGATTAGAAAATTGAGGGGAAATGTACTGCACAAATGTAATTGGGACTTCTCTCATTCACAAAAAGAAAGGGTCAGGGGGGAAGAAAAGAGATTAGTTTCTAAAAGCATGATTAATCACTGGACATCAAGTCCCATTCATTTTGCTTACTCTATTCTGAACACTGACAGTAAGATAGAACTTCGAAAGGTGTTTATCTTGAAAAGTAAGTCCTAAGGTAGCATTTCATGTGGATACACTGAGAAAGCAATATTGAGTGAAATAAGGATGGTACTGCTTGTGTTCTTAATATCCTTCAAATGTTGCAGTATTTGCACCACACACTGCTAGCATTTTTTGTCTAAACAGGAGCAATATATCAAACTAGATTCTAGTATTTTCAACCACGTATCAACGAGATTCTGCGTCACTGATGCACTTTGTAACAAATGTACTCATTTTTAATCACCACAGGCAGCCATGGTACTGACAACTATCTGTTCAAAATCTTACTATCTTATGAAGTGATAAAAAGAACACATATGCTTTTTAAGTGCATGTTAAATGTATTACCAAAACAACTGTTCAGTAAGTTCAACATATATCCATGTTATTTTGATTTTAAACCTCTTCCAAAATACTACTTCATAACAATGAGTCTGTAATAAAACTGAAAATCTTTCTTTGTGACTTCAGCAATTATTTCAATTACACATGGAAAAAGGAATGCAAATAGCATTTGTGAATGCCATCTGGTGTATTAGGGCAAAGGCAGCTGTAAGCATACACAGAAGGAATCAACTACGTATTATTATATATAAATATAACGCGTATATTAATAAATATATACAACAAATTTGTAGGTATAAGTAATATATATCCTTTTATGTGCATATATAAACAGATTTACTTGATATACTTACACAAATGAATTCACACTATATTGCTTTTTCTACTCATTCCTTAGGAAGTATTTTTAAGTTTGAAAATGCAAATTTTCTTATCTTCGCATCAACAATTTTGACATTTTAGATCCTTTGCCTTTCCA